CTTGGCTCAGTGGAATAGAAGCGTCGGGCTGCGACTGAAAGGTTCCCAGTTCTTATTCCGGCAAGGGCGCATGCCTGGGTTGCGGGCTCATTCCCCAGTAGGGGGCGTGCAAGAAGGCAGCCGATCAATGATTCTCTCTCATCATTGATGTTTCTATCTCTCTCCTTCTCCCTTCCTCTCTGAAATCAATAAAGAAATATATTTAAAAAATAAAATAAAATAAAACAAGTAAATAATTCAATTTAATTCTTATTAGAGGTTGGTTGTTCAAAACTCTGCAGGCCATAATGACTTCAACTAATAAAGCAATTGAATTACAACTACAAGTGAAACAAAATGCAGAAGAATTACAAGACTTTATGAAGGATTTAGAAAACTGGGAAGAAGATATTAAACAAAAGGATATGGAACTAAGAAGACAGAATGGTGTCCCTGAAGAGGTAAATTTCTTAATTAAATTTCTACTTCAGAATCCAGCAGAACTATTTACTTTAAAATAAAGCCCCTTTTAAAATGGTTTGTGAAAATATTGAAATAGAAGTGATTTGCTTCCTGTCAACATTTTGGAAAATTCTGCTTTTAAAGTCTTTGTAATAATATTAACTATAGTAAGACATTTTTAAGGTTTAGTGAGAGAAAGATCATATGATAATTCTTAAAGTAAATGAATAGCAGTATGGCTGGTGTGGCTCAGTTGGTTGAATGTCGTCCCATGCACCAGGAGGTCGCTGATGATCGATGTTTCTTTCATTGATGTTTCCATCTCTCCCTCTACCTTCCTCTCTAAAATCAATAAAAACATATATATTTTTAAAAAGTAAATGAATAGCAGTATGGCTGGTGTGAGTATATATATCATGTATATCATATGTGATTTTGTAATGACACTAACATACACTATTGTCATAAAAATGTGGATACTACCAAGGTTTAATCAAATGTTTCTCTAAAGACTGCCTTTTTTATATTAGATGTAATGATGTGGAGGCAGTTCAATTTGCCATTGAATTACTGCTAATTAATTGTACTAAGGCTGAAGATAAGGTAGGTTTTGAAGTTTGAATTTAGGATTACAAAATTAAGTGTATAATTAAAATTTCTGGGCAATACTTGTGACTGAACAATGTTTGACATTTGCCAAAGGATGAATTAAACTTTTCAAGCATAAATTATCATTAAAAGTGAAGGTGGTAAGTTGGTATTTTTAAGCACTTGAAAATTAAATTTAAAAATACTTTTTACATGAAATATAATTTAGTGAGAATTTTAAACATTGCTAGTTATACAAAAAATTAGTAATAGAGTGGTGCTCAAAACATGTGTTGTTTTTCCTCCCTAGAATTTACCTCCAATTCGAAATAGGAATTTTAGGAAAAAGAAGAAAGGTAAAGCAAAAGAGTCTTCTAAGAAAACCAAAGATGAGAACACAAAAAACAGGATAAAGTCTTATGATTATGAGGCATGGGCAAAACTTGATGTGGTAAGTTAATCTAATTATGTGTTTCTTAGTATTTGAGTAAAATTTCATGGCATTAGCTGAGAGTCATGGATTAAGTGAAAAATAATGTTGAATTCTTACAACGTGTTTCTTTCTTTTATAGACATTTTATGTGGAATAAAAATAGCACATAGAGGTCCAGTATACTTTTCACTCAGTTTTCCCCAATGGTTACATCTTAATTATAGTATAGATCAAAACCAGGAAATTAACATTGGTACAATATATGTATAGTTCTGTGCCATTTTATCACATGTGTAGATTTGGGTAACCACCATTGCAATAAAGACACAGAAATATTGCATTACCACAAAGGTCTTGTTTGTGTTACCCATTTATAGTTGCACTCTCTTCCCTTCTCCCACCATCTCTAATCCCTAAACAGCTTGAATTCTAAGGTAGTAATACTCCCAGAAAAGAATGACTCTGTCAATACCTTTTTTATAGATGGAAGGACCTATTCAATACTGGCTAAAAGAGAATGCCAGTGTCTAGTCTTAGGGCTCGGGCTGTATGACAGTAAAAACAGGTCTGCTTTGATCCCAGGAAGGTGAGAGACCACAAATAGCAAAAGTGTAGTGTGTGCTTCCATCTCCCAACAGATACGCAGTGTAACTGGAGAACCAGTATTCCTCCTCAGAATCCTCTACCCAGTGCTCCAAGCAGCCACTGTCAAGTCAGGGAACCTGTGAAAGGAAACCTGTTGGCCAGCCTATTTTGGAGTCTGACCCATCTTAAGGGTTGATTTGGAATATACATTCCCTTTTAGTCTTCTTAAAAGTGTTTATTATGGCCTGGCTGGCGTGGCTCAGTGGTTGAGAGTCGACCTATGAACTAGGAGGTCATGGTTTGATTCCTGGTCAGGGCACATGCCCGGGTTGTGGGCTCAATCCCTAGTGTGGGGCATGCAGGAGACAGCCAATCAATGATTCTCATCATTGATGCTTCTCTCTCTCCCACTTCCTTCCTCTCTGAAATTAAGAAAAATATATTTAGAAAAAAAAGTGTTTATTATGTAATATTTGATTCGTACAAAAGAGCATGTAGAGATACATGTTCTAAATCATAATAAAATAAATACAGGCTGGGACAAAAGTAGGTTTCCAGTTGTTTGTATCTAATCTAATAATAGACAAACATGGTAATTGACCATACCTTCGCTACGCTTCCCATGGGCTAATCAGGATGATATGCCAATTAACTGCCAACAAAAGATGGGCGGTTAACCACCAACAAAGATGGCGGGTTAATTTGCATACGTAAGTGCAATGCTGGGGAGGTGAAAAGGGAAAAGAACGGAAGAAAGGCTGGCCTGACTGCTGGACGGGGGATCCCAACCGATGAGGGCAGGGGAGAAGCAGTGAGAGGTAGCAAGTGATGAGGCCCCCAGGAAGGGGGAGAGAGCAGAGAGATCAGCGACGATGTCGATAAGGGCGGACTCCGGTACCTTTGACTGCGAGAGGAGTTCA